TATCCTTTTAATTTGCATGTTTTCTAAGCCAAAACAAGTTTTTTGGGCTACTATATAAAGCTTCAAATTCATTTTGAATTGAAAAGCTTCCTGGATAAGAAGAGAGAAACGTCAAATATATTTTTAGAAATTAACTCATAAATGTCAGTTTTACTCTCTAGACTGTGTACCTATAAGCAAAACAAATGATATAAACTACATTTCCCTACCTACTGTCATTCATTTGTGGATTTCCACAGACAGACTCCTACCGTCTCCGTCTTGGGGCGCTGATCAGGCAGCCCCACAAGTGCATAGAATCTGCCAATCATGTACTATTGCTAGGTGAATTTAATAATTTAATGGCCAATCAGCGTCTCAGAATTTTACGGTCTTGGGGCTCTGAAAATCCTGCCCTTTAACAGGCTTCTGCACCCAATGCGCAGCTGCAGACAATTAGAGGGAAGATGGCGAATGTAACGAACGAGATGCAGCTTCCACCAAATGCGGTGAGATCCTTATTTATCTACCCGTTTGCCAGAAGAACATCCCTGTTGTAGGGTAGGAAAATTTCACGTCATGGTTATTGTGACCAAAATTATCACTGTTACTGTTATTATATAGTGAATTAAATCATTACTGTTAAATTGTATTTATTGTCCAATTGTTAATTTGAATTCTTATTCTGGATTAGTTGGAGACATACACTAGGCTATATCAGCCCCCGCCAAAAATATTTTTCACCAGCTGCCACTGAGCCCAACAAAGCCTTTTTATGCCCACTTTGACAAAAATAAAATTATCCTTTTAATTTGCTTAGTTTTCTAAGCCAAAACAACTTTTTTGGACTACTATATAAAGCTTCAAATTAATTTTGAATTGAAAAAGCTGGATGGGAAGTGAAATGTCTTCAAACTTGGAAACAAAGTCCAGTGGACTGTTTTTTTTACTTTTTTGGAATAAATGACCTGGATGACTGAGGATCTTCACCATCATTTTGACTGTTTTTTTTTTTTTTTTACTTTTTTTTTTTTTACAGTTTGCTCGCAATACAAATAATAAACAACCATCATGGCAGAACGGTTTGAATCAGGAGAAATCTGCTCTTTTTTTTTTTTTTTATCTATTTTTGGTTTTGCTGAATGCTGGCCACCAGTATGTTTTCGTTTTTTTTACAGATATCACACTTTAAAAGCAATCACACTTGCTTTTAAAGTGTGATTCCCATGCCTTAGGAAAAAAACAGCGCTTGGTGAGAGACGCCTGGAAAGTTTGAGTTGGAGCTAATTTAGTTGGTTTCTTCTTCTACCTTTTAAATCGAGTTCACCTGGGCTACTTTATGTACTGATAAGGCCGTGATTTTAAAGCACACCTGCTGATAACTTTCACCTACTAAACTTATCTGTTAACATCTTTGCTTTATTGCTTTTTCAGTAATCTGTTTCTTTTCATCAAACCTAGAAGGTAGATTTCAATAGAAAAAAAAACAAACTTCCTTTAGATAGTGGATCAATATAGACTCAACCGGTTCTTGTTTTTATTTGTTTTGGTAAGTAGGGTGAAAAATGTTTATTCTAGATATGATCTAACAGTTATAAAACATCTGATTAGAGTTTATTTTCTTTTAGTTTTCCTCTTTTAATGGCTCCATGGGCCTTGGTTCTGCTGGAGGTTTCTTCCTGTTCAAAGGGAGTTTTTCCTCTCCACTGTCGCTACAAGCATGCTTAGTGTGAGGGATTGCTGAAGAGTCAATGAGTCGATGCAATCAGCTGGTTTTCCTTAGATAGAAAACTTTGAATCAATCTGACTGGATGATCTGGTGAACTGGAAAGTGACCTGAGATGACATGATGGGAATTGGAGCTATAGAAATACACTGAATAGAATTATAAAACAGCATGTTGAGGATCGGGAGCAACAAACAGTGCAGGTTCCTGAACATTTCCTCCTGCTGAATATTGTTATTTATGAATATCACAACATGAACATAACATTCAGAAAATCCTTTCAACATCCCTGCTCTGAAATTCTATCATTCCAAGTCATCTTATGACAAAATGATGTAAAGAATTAAGTTTTTAATCACCGAACCAAATCCAGAAGTCAGTGACAAATCCTGTTTTAAAGTCTTTTAAAGATTGCCAAAAGCGACGCTATTGTGTGTTTTGGTCCTGATCCTCAGTATGCAAAGCTTAACAATGGCTTTCAACATGTTACTATGGTTACATATACTGTATAGGTAAGAAGTTAATCAGTAGAAGGAAATAAACTCCTTTTTTTAAATAGGGGATTTTTATGATGTGATGTGATGCAGTCTGGATACCCAGAGATGTTTAAGGAATTTAAAACAAATGACAGACCTGCTTTGCACATCCCCACCTGATCCTTTCTGCATCCATTTCACTTCGTGCTGATAAGAATAATTAATACTGAATTGAACTTTATCCATCTCACATCTTTAGCTCTTAATGTCTACAAATCATGCCAGAAAGAATATTTTAAAACAAATGTTTATGTTTAAAAAGAAATTGTTGAGGACTGGTGTTCTGTCAAATCAGCATTAACCCATCAGAGCAGAAAACCCATAATCAATACCTGTTTACTCCGTAGTTATTCCCATTTACCCCTTTAGTGTCGCATGAAAAATATACTTTAAACGACCTCAACTGGTGTGTATCCCTTTAGTCATAATATACAAAAAACTATTTAATTATTTACTTTTTGGAGTTTTTTTAAGCATATGGAGATCAGAGCTTAAATTGTTTTTTGTACATGACCAGCCAAAGACCTGCCAAGGACTAACCAAGGACCTGCCAAGGATCAGTCAAGGACCAGCCTAGGACCCATGAAGGAAAGTGGGAACATTTTAAATGGCTGCCACTGAAAGCACTTTTATTTTTAAAACAAAAGGCCCAACTTAGAGGCAGGATGTATTGAAACCACTAAACTGGAGTTATTTTGCTGTAAATATAGATTAGTGGACAAAACAGACCACAGCATGGCAGCTTTAAAACAACTTTTGATTTGTTTTTCAGTGTAGTCCTGTTTCTCTGACTGTGACTAACTTGATGTGCTCTCTTCGTCCTCTGGCCGCTCACACTGAGCCTGGTTCTGCTGGAGGTTTCTTCCTGTTCAAAGGGAGTTTTTCCTCTCCACTGTCGCTACAAGCATGCTTAGTGTGAGGGATTGCTGAAGAGTCAATGAGTCGATGCAATCAGCTGGTTTTACTTAGATAGAAAACTGAATTAAACTGACTGGATGATCTGGTGAACTGGAAAGTGACCTGAGATGACATGATGTGAATTGGAGCTATAGAAATAAACTGAATAGAATGAATGGCTCCACCTCCACCTGACTGTACAGGTGCTGGTCATAAAATTAGAATATCATGAAAAAGTAGATTGATTTCAGTAATTCCATTTAAAAAGTGAAACTTGTATATTATATTCATACATTACATACAAACTCATATATTTCAGATGTTTATTTTGTTTAATTTTGATGATTACAAATGACAACAAATGAAAATCTCAAATTCATCATATCAGAAAATTAGAATATTGTGAAAAGGTTCAAAATTGATGGCCCCTGGTGCCACACTCTAATCAGCTAATTAACTCAAACCACCTGCAAAAGCCTTTAAATGGTCTTTCAGTCTAGTTCTATAGGCTACACAATCATGGGGAAGACTGCTGACTTGACAGTTGTCCAAAAGACGACCATCGACACCTTGCACAAGGAGGGCAAGACACAAAAGGTCATCGCTAAAGAGGCTGGCTGTTCACAGAGCTCAGTGTCCAAGCACATTAATAGAGAGGCGAAGGGAAGGAAAAGATGTGGTCGAAAAAAGTGTACAAGCAAGAGAGATAACCGCACCCTGGAGAGGATTGTGAAACAAAACCCCTTCAAAAATGTGGGGGAGATTCACAAAGAGTGGACTGCAGCTGGAGTGAGTGCTTCAAGAACCACCACACACAGACGTATGAAAGACATGGGTTTCTGCTGTCGCATTCCTTGTGTCAAGCCACTCTTGAACCACAGACAGCGTCAGAAGCGTCTTGCCTGGGCTAAAGAGAAACAGGACTGGACTGCTGGTGAGTGGTCCAAAGTCATGTTCTCTGATGAAAGTAAATTTTGCATTTCCTTTGGAAATCAAGGTCCCAGAGTCTGGAGGAAAAGAAGAGAGGCACTTCATCCACGTTGCTTGAAGTCCAGTGTAAAGTTTCCACAGTCAGTGATGGTTTGGGGTGCCATGTCATCTGCTGGTGTTGGTCCATTGTGTTTTCTGAGGTCCAGGGTCAACGCAGCCACATACCAGGAAGTTTTAGAGCACTTCATGCTTCCTGCAGCTGACCAACTTTTTGGAGATGCAGATTTCATTTTCCAACAGGACTTGGCACCTGCACACAGTGCCAAAGCTACCAGTACCTGGTTGAAGGACCATGGTATCCCTGTTCTTAATTGGCCAGCAAACTCTCCTGACCTTAACCCCATAGAAAATCTATGGGGTATTGTGAAGAAGAAGATGCAATACACCAGACCCAACAATTCAGAAGAGCTAAAAGCCACTATTAGAGCAACCTGGGCTATCATAACACCTGAGCAGTGCCACAGACTGATCGACTCCATGCCACGCCGCATTGCTGCAGTAATACAGGCCAAAGGAGGCCCAACTAAATACTGAGTGCTGTACATGCTCATACTTTTCATGTTCATACTTTTCAGTTGGCCAACATTTCTATAAATCCTTTGTTTTTATTGGTCTTCAGTAATATTCTAATTTTCTGATATGATGAATTTGAGATTTTCATTTGTTGTCATTTGTAATCATCAAAATTAAACAAAATAAACATCTGAAATATATGAGTTTGTATGTAATGTATGAATATAATATACAAGTTTCACTTTTTAAATGGAATTACTGAAATCAATCTACTTTTTCATGATATTCTAATTTTATGACCAGCACCTGTAAACTTGTCCTCAGCGCAGACATATCTGCGTCAGTCCGCCCGTCCTCACCTTGAACTCCCCAGACATCTGCGGGGTGTAGTCCAGCGTCCACAGCGCGCGAACCAGCGACGCCAGCTGCTCCGTCACCTCTCCCCCGGAGCTCCGCGCCTCCTCCGCCCTCACTTCCCCGTTCGCCCTCCCGGAGCGGCACAGATCCGCCTTGTACTGGCCCAGGCCGAGGTACTCGGCCAGCAGGTCGGTGTTGCTGAGGCATTGGACCACCGCGTTCATGAAGCAGGTGTTTCCGTGGTTCTTTAGACCCAGCGCGCCGGGCGTTTTGTCGCCGTAGCACCAGGACAGCCTCTCCTTCACCGAGCCGCGCTGAGAGGAGGCCGCGGAGCTCCGGTTCTTGGCTCCTTCCCTGGAGCTCTGGGAGAAGTCTCCCCTGAAGCCGCCGTCGTCCTCCTCTGCGTCCGGCGGCTCCGCGTCGCCGAAGTGCGCTAAAGTGCCCAAACTTTTCAGGATCCTTCCCATGAAATTCCCGATAGAGCGCAGAGATTTCCTCCTGACGAACTTCCCACTTTTAGATTTCTTCTCTTTCCGCTTGGAAGTCTTCGCCTTCATCGGCTGCTTTCTGTCCCTGCGGGTCTCCATGGTTCCTGCAGGAGACCGACAGAAAATGAAAGGAGAATGAGGGAAGGAGCGCACCTGTCTGCCAGACGCTCCTCCTCCTCCTCCCCCCTCCACACACCTTACTGCTCCTCTGGCACCGATCACTGACACGATCCCGCCGCGTCTCGATGGGTCACGATCCCCGCGGGGCGCATCCCCCCCACGCGCGGCGCGGCTCCGGTGGGCTGCCCTTCCTCATCCAGGGATCTCCGTGGAGTGGGGCGCACTTAGCCGCCTGTCCTTCTCTGCTCATGTCATGAAGCGCTGCTGTTTGGAGGGTTTGTTACAAAAACGGATGTGAAGGATTTAATCTGAAGGATTTAATCTGACGGATTTAATCCACCTCTTCACGCATCAAACATCCTCTGGTCGCCCAACTTTACCAACTTTTAAAATGCTGTGGAACTGAGAGAAGGAAGTAGACTGGGTTGGTGTGGACGCAGAGTGGGTGGAAGCTGCCCCCTGTAGGCCGGACTGCAACATCACCTGCTGGGATTTTTCAAAAGTAGCAGAGAAATGAAGTCACAGAAGCTCAGGTTATAAAGGGCTTTCTCCAGGGGCGGATTTGGGAAATTTGGGGGCCTAGGCAAAGACAGGCAAGGAGCCCTCTGAATCAATGGCATATCGACACAACAATCAGGGTTCCCACGGGTCCTTAAAAAGTCTTAAAAGGCATTGAATTCTTCAAAATAAAACTAAGGCCTTAATTGGTATTAAAATGTCTTAAATCAGTCTTTCGTAGGTCTTAATTTTCAAAACATCATAAATAAGATTTTTTTTATTATGATTTATTTTGCAATCTAAATAAAACGTTAAAATTGACATTTTTTTTATCATTTAGAAAAAAACTAACGGCTCGCCTTTATTGGTTCCGTCCCGATAGCGGAACCAATAAAGCGTTGTTGCGGCCGGGACATTTGGGAGATGCACCATTCACTTTTTGTCTGGAAAATATGAGCAAGTGTAAATGTAACCAAAAGAGTTTCCTCCATGGCTAAAACCAGGGAACATCCATGAGGCTCAGTGGATTTAGTGCAAGAAGTCATTCAAGCTCAGAACGATGGGAATTAAGGCAGTGGAGTCGAAACACAAAGCGTCAAAATGGAGTTACAGAGAAACAGCCGGTATTTCTCAGTTTAGTTCCACCCTTGTCTCTGCAACGCCTCCACTTATCACCAAATCAAACATACTAAGAAAACCATACAAAGAAAAATAGCTGCAAAAAGACTTAGCACTGGTTATGTTGGGGCTTTAAAACTGATTTGTTTTGTTCCCTGCTAAAACAAAGTTTGTGAATTCAGTTAAATAATTGTTCAAATATATCTGTCTTTTGTGTGTTTTTAGCTTTCTTCCTGTATGGGAAGCTTTTCAACATTTGAAACATTAGTGCAGTGGTTTATGCTAAAATAAACCTTTGGGTTAAGTTTTCGCAAGCAGGTTTTTCTTGTGTTTCTTGTGAATTTGGTCTTAAATTTTTATTTCAAGTGGCATTAAAAAGTCTTAAAGTCTTGAATTTAACTCGCCTTATGCTGTAGGAACCCTGTCAATCGACCCATAAGCAACATTATCTGGTTAGAGGTTTCCATCTGATAAAGGTTCAGGATGCGACTCAGTTCCAGAAATCGGCCAAAAAGATACACTTATGTAATAATTCTCAGTAGTATGATCACACATCACACACGGAAATATAGTGACCGCGCACCTTGTACGGAACCATAGGTGACAGCGCACCACCACTATTGAGTTTTATGGTGACGTCACGGTGCACAGAGCTATAGTGAAACTGACAATGCCCACGTGCATGGCAGCAGGATGCTGGAATACATCGGGTAAAAGGAGGAGTTTTTCTGTTGGGAATCAAAACAGAAAATGTTTTTTATTGCTGTTCATTGCCAAGCAGCTTTTCATTTTTAAAGCTCAGATGAGATTCCAGCCTGATTTCTCTGTTTGATCTTTAGTTTTTAGCCTCACAGTCTAGTGATGTTCTGCCGTCTAACCTGTAATATCTCTGAAAAACAGAAATAAAAAAATTTAGTGGAGGAATGAAGCCATCCAACTGCTCTAATTGATCAGCATGGTGGTGGGGGCATCATGCTGAGGGTCTGTTTTGTTTGTGTGTTGCACAAACTTGATAGAATATTTTTTTTTAAAAGGCGTACCTTTGGAGTTTTCCACCTCTGGAGCTCTGACATGGCCATGACTCCAACAGTTATAGCTATTATATGAAGGGTCGGCCTAGAAGGCCTAGAAGGTCTGTCCAACAGGAAAATATGTCGACTGTCTTCAAGCTTGAAATATTCCAGCAGTACCTTTTCTATACGCCTGCTCCTGGTGACCAGAAGATATTTAGCATTAATTAGTGGTGTTTATGTTTAAATCTGAGCCTGGATGTAATATTAAAGGAAACATCCGGTCAGCAAGGAATGATCAATGGATCATTATTTATACCTAAAACTAATACGTTCGTGATGATGTAATGAATTTGGTGTTAATCAGTACAGAAAAAGGAGCGGCCAGGGCTAACGTCAGCCCGTCTGCAGCGGCCAGGGCTAACGTTAGCCCGTTCCCAGTGGCCAGGGCTAACGTTAGCCTGTCCGCAGCGGCCAGGGCTAACGTTAGCCCGTCTGCAGCCGTCAGGGCTAACGTTAGCCCGTCTGCAGCGGCCAGGGCTAACGTTAGCCCGTCCCCATTGGCCAGGGCTAACGTTAGCCCGTCCGCAGCGGCCAGGGCTAACGTTAGCCCGTCCGCAGCGGCCAGGGCTAACGTTAGCCCGTCTGCAGCGGCCCTCTCTCTGCATAGCCGTGTGTGAAGGACCGCTGGCTCTGATGCCAATTTTTTTGTTTTATGGCATAATGTTCATTTGATTTTTTTTTTTATCTGACTGTGTTCATTAATATTCCCCCACTAAATTAGAAAAGTCATAATTTATTATTATCCAGAGACTAATAATAACAGGAGGTGAAATGCAGCTCCAGACGAGCTGAGCGTGTGGTGATGTCATCAGTACGCTTCTGTTCCAGTTGACCCAGATTTATGCTGCGTGCTCCGGTTCTCCCAGAGTCCACACTTTCCTGGGTTCTTCTCAATAACAGACTTGGCGAGGACGCGAGTCTATACTCGTGTTCTTGTGAATTGAGAAACGGCCAACAAGTCGGTTTCTTATTTCAACTGGCAGATTCTTATTTCAACTGCTGCCAGTTCTGTTAGCTCTACGCCTGCTGAAGACACAGACGTCCATCCCCGTAAACACTGGGACGCAACTCGTATATTAGCGCATATTAGCTGCGACACATGAATCAAGATGCTATGACCGAAAAAATTGATTGACAGATGAGCGTTGATATATGATTGGCTGAATTTAGGTGTTCAGGCTGACGTAGAACTAACTGGCCTGCAGAAAATAACGGAAAAAACACAGATTTTAAGACAGGATTTTTTTTTTTTTTTAAATAGATATTTCCTAAATTTTGGGACAATATGGTCTGATAAAGATACATGTTTAAGCCAGAATTATTTGACCTTTAAATATGATTTCCCTGCGACTTTAAAGAAGTATTTTATACTCCAGTCTGCCACATCATCATATTTTACATTATACACGTTACCAGATGAGGAGGCATCCATGGCTCCAGCCTTATCAGAATATCACACTTTGTTCTTAGCTGAAGGACGCCGCTCTCATTCCATTCCCAAATATTTGCCACATGCAGAATTAACATTATAACTGTATGTAGGCGGACCGAGGAACCAGGAAAACATCAGTTCTGACACTAAACAGGCAGCTAATATTAGGGTGTAATAAACTCACACATCATCATCGATAAATATCCTAACACACCTTAATATCCTGCTCCAAAAATCCTCTTTCATATCATCGCTGCAGAAATGTTCTCACCAAAGCAGGTAAAATGAACCTTTTCTCAGCTATTTTAGCCAAAGACATCATGAGCGGCCTTTATTTTAATACGGATGAAGCATCTTTTATCGAGCAATCAGAAGGATTCTAATAATCCCAGCGTTCATTTCACAGCTCAGCAGTGCTACAGATTGAATCTAGTGGACCAGGTGTGCTGCTTTACTGAAATAGATTCATTTTTTCCCCATAATTTCCCAAATGTTATGAGAAAACAAATGAACATGTTAGAGCAGAACACAGGAGGAGCAAACCGGACCATTTCTGAACCTCTGATGACTACAGCTCTGTCTCTGCTTATTATTTATCTGATTGTTTACATTTATTTTTATTTATTATTAATTCTTCTTTATCTTGATATACTGTATATTGTTTATTCCTAATGCATCTTTTTCGTCCTTGTTTGCACCTTCTTTAATTACTATGCCAATATGTGACCAGTGAATTTCTCCGCTGTGAGATCAATAAAGCTCATCTAATCTAATCTAATCTAATTACACTTAAACTTAAAGTCCTGGCTGGAGGTCGTCTGCTCTTAACCCGAATACTCAGATGTTAGTTAGGAAGAATCGGACGAGTATCTGCTTTGGAAGATCCTTTTCAGAAGTCATACAGCTCTATTTGGACTTTTCTTTTTTGCATATTCTCTCCAATATCCGGTAAAACAAACCAAAATCTTCTCTGATGACTTCAAGGCACAGATAGGGTCTAAATTAAAGTTAATCTAACAGACTGATCCTGGCTTTAGTAAACTGCTTTGGCTGTTTAGCGGTAAACACCCTGTGCAATAACCCTGTATAATCATCCAACTACTATAAAATAATAATAATAATATTAATGCAGATTTATATTTCCCCGAAACGTGCCTCACTTACACACAGGTGGACTGCATCAGGTTTAACCAGGATTATTTACAATTATTTACTGAAGTTAACGTTTGTTGAATCTGACATGGCGTGTTCAAAGGAGCCCAGAAAAAGTAGGAATAATTTATAACAGGAATAGGAAAATATTGCATGAGGCTCAATGTTCTTAAAGGAAAAGTCCTTTAATATTCAGAATTCAACAATGTTACTATATTTGGGCAAAAATGGCTGCTCCCAGACTCAGTGATCGGAACAAAAATTATAATTTTGTTATTGATTAACGCTAAAATCATGAAATGACCACAATCGTATTAGTTTTAGGTATAGATAATGATCCATTGATTATTCCTCGCTGACCGGACTTTTCCTTTAAAGTCGTAGGGAAGCGGCTTTTCCAAACGTCGCATTTCCGAATTCTCCTGAGTGGTGCCCGACTTTACACGAGTGAATAAAGTGAATGTGATTGGTCGATTATCAAGGGGGCGGGATTGCTATGGTGGAAGGTTTACAAGTAAGTTTGGTTGTGGCCGGTTT